GATAGTCAATATTTCAAGGGATTGTTATATAATAGAAGATAGTCAATATTTCAAGGGATTGTTATATAATAGAAGATAGTCAATATTTCCAGGAATTGTTTATATAATAGAGGATAATCAATATTTCAAGGGATTGTTTATATTATAGAAGATAGTCAATATTTCAAGATATTGTAAACGAAAACATGACAGTAGTAAGACGATTTGAACGTCGTCAGATTATTGAAATATTTTTCTGCATTTATTTGTCAACCCAATCTTAAAACTTTAATTTTTGAGTTAATTACAAAATTCCTTGGCATTTCCAAAATGTGGCTGCTTTTTTCTGTTTTTAATATTACCCGAGATATGAAGAATTTCGATCAGATTTCGACAATTTTGGTTTTTTTTTCAAATCAAATCAAATCAAATATGTATTTCTGTCCCAAGCATACATTACATATAGAATAAAATATTTTTAAAGCTCATTTATCAGCAAAGAGCTTTATTATATAAATATATACATACACAATAATCATAATCATTTTCAGAATCAAAATCTTCCTCTTCCAGAGTTTTATTGGGTTTCTTTAAATAATGACAAATCTAAAATCTTTAATATCCAAGGAACATTTATGAGATTTGAATTTTAACTAATAGTGTGTTACCAAAAACTCGTTTACACTTTAGAAAGGGACGAAGTTTTCGCCAAATATACAAATCCCTGTAATCTTTTCAACCTGATTGTTTAAAACTTTTATATCTCAATATTAAAGGTCTACGACATCGGGTTGCAAAGATATAGTAAATGAAAATTAAAGTTTGTGGCATAAACTGATTTGCTTTAAACTTGAAATAAAAAACCATCAGTCTTTTCTGTCATATTCATCAGTCATTTCTTATATTGATAGATTAGAGACGTTTTGAAATGTTTTGAATGGCAATTTATTGTTACACTTTTGAAATTAAAAGAACCTGTCAAATCTTTCCCTGGGATGTTTAGAAAGATGAAAATTTCCCTGTATGATAATTGAAGGACTGCAGTATGGATTTAGTGAATCATATTGAGTTACTAAGCCTAGGGGTGTCAGTAATGATTTTTTTTGCATTTTTTTGAAAACGTCCCATAAACCTAAAAAAGTTTAATTTTGATAAAACTTTTTGTTCTAGATGATTGCAAATATCTATCTAAAACTTTCTTAAACCGGCATATGTTTTCTAAATTCATTTAGTTCAGAGTTAGAGTTAAAATAAGTATTAATAAATATTGCTTTATATCGAGTAGATATCCTTAAACATATCGATGTGAAAGTTTTCAGAGAGTAGGAAAGATTCTGCAGA